GGAAAGATTCGCTGATAGCACTCCACGCCACGCCGGGCTGAGCAAACAGGAAGGGGATTTTTAAAATTCCCGGGGAATGTAAAGGGTGGGTCACATGGTTGGTTACCTGAGGCCAGGGCAGTAGAGTTTGAACTGATGACCAGAGTGGCTAGAACAGGCATTGTGGGATACCGCCGAATACTTCTGGAGGCCAGTCACAGCGCATTGGGCTGCCACACTGGCGCCGCAGAGCTGCAGTGGCAGCGCAATACACACTATTTCTCTCGGAGACGTGGAGTACATGCAGTGCTGCAACCACGGAGATACAGTGCTGCAAATGCCTTGCCAGTGTGGACGGGGAGTGAGTTACAGCGCTGCAACTCGCAAGTGTAGCGAAGGCCTAGGTATCATATGCCCACTATTACAGTTCTGTCAGAAACAGTTCTGAATGAACTGGAACTGAGAGTTATGTCTATTTTATTTTGCTAATATACATTGTCTGCTCTAAGCCGCATATGAGCTGTTCACTCACACGTGTAGTAGAAAACCAGAAGCTATTATCTTCTACATTATATTTATATATTACTATTTTCAGCAATGCATAACAAGCACAAAAAATTACTGAAACTGAACTTTGGAACGTAATTACAAACTTCTGCTCTCACTTTTGTGGAAGTGAGTTTAATACTTTCCCTCCAATTTTTATAACTAAACCCTCAATGTTGTACTGCTTTAAACTCTAGTTCACCATGTGACAAATCTGTCTGCCTTGTACCCATGTACTGTCTTTGTCCAGTGCTGAAGTTTCCAATTAATTTACTGTAGCTGTTACTGGATGAATAAGAAACATGAAAAGCTTATTGAGTAATTTCCCCATGCTAAAATGCCACATTATGTTAAATGGGGAGAAAGGTAACAATTTTACCCCCCCCCCCCGCCCACCATTAATAGATATATTATGCATGAATATATTCTGTGAACAAATGTCTTAATTTCTGCATTCAATTTCAGAGAATTCAGAAATACAGTAGAACCTCAGAGTTACGGACACCACGGGAATAGAGGTTGTCCATAACTATGAAATGTTCGTAAGACTAAATAAAGCACAGTTCAGGCTCCAGCTCCAGCAGCTGACACTCCAGGCCAGCAGCTCCCTCCTCAGCACTGGCAGCTCCCTTCCCGGGGGTTGGACTCAGTTTGCAAGCTAGTCCCCCTCCCAGCCAGGGGAGGGGATGAAAGCTGTGCAGACCCCAGCGCTGCCCCTGCTCGGCCTGCTCCAGCTGCCATGGGCTGGCAGCGTCAATGTCTTCACCTCCTAGCTGTGACTGTCACATGCGTGGGAGTGGGGATGAGGGTGGTAACAGGCAGCCCAGATGTGCCTACCTCTAAGATGCAATACAGGTACAGTACAGTATTTGCTTTCTTTTGTCTCTTCTGTTGCTTGAAGTGTCCAGTTGGCCAGTCAGTCTGCAACTCTGGTGTACGTATCTTTGAGGTTCTACTGTATTTAGAAAGTTTGGCTGAAGTCTGTCCCACTATGAAGGCTTAAGGTAATAGGAAACAGTCAAATGTCAGCATTCAGTTGCTGTTTTATTTTTTGGCAAGGTAGTTATGACTGAGTAGGGCCCAATTTAAATTAAATATTTTGATCTAGTCAGTTGGTGCATATAGGATCAGTTGAACTCAATTTGCATTTCAGGGTTTATTATTTAATGGATTTACTATTTAATGTACTAATCAGTTTGAATTCAAACAATACAAAAGAATCTTATTTATTTGTACTAATGGGTGATACCAACTGTGAAAAACTGAAAATCAGAAAGGTATTTAGGCATGGCTGTGCTCAGCATTGCAATGCCTAACTGGTTGTAGAGCCTAAATTTCAGGAATTAGAAAAAGAAGTGGGAAAAGACACCTTTTTTTGTGGCCAAATTATGTGTGTGGATTAGTAGTGTCAAATCAGCACAGTACTACTGTATATCACTTACTACCCAAAACTATTTGCATTAGTGTTGTATTCAGCATCAAATGTTTCCGCATTAATTCTGTCATCTTTTTGACTATCCATCCTGTGATACAACAGGAACATAGGAATATTGAATTCCATCACCTGACACTGTTAATATGTGAATAAGGTGGTGAAATGTGATAGAGTTTCATTTAAGTGTTCCCAAGGAATGAATTCAACTACAGGTGCTCTGCTTTAAATTTGGACCTTTGCCCCATGTTAATTCTCATTGCCAATAACTTCCATGCATAATTAATATGGTTTAGTTAGAAGACTGTCACACAGACAGTTAAGTACATCATACTACAGTGTGCAAGACCTGCAATTAAGGTTAACTTCAGACTCTCTCAGTCTACAACCAGGTTTTTCAATCTGGTTTTAACTACGGTTAATCTCCTTGATTAATATAATCAGTTAGGCCATGATTAAGTGAAGTCAGGTTGGGATTCTGGTAGCTGAAAAACAAAAAGTGACAAGAGTAGGCATTGTCTTTTCCTCCTGTGGCATAGGGGAGCATCCCATCTCTCTGATAACTGTCCACATTCACACACTGGAAAAGGAGTTGGTAGGAAAGAAAATAGCACAGAGGCTATTTTCAGTTATCTTAAAGGAGGAGAGGTAAAGGAGAAATCAATTTAAAAAAGTCATACACAAGAAAAATTAAATCAGTCAAAGGAGAAGATGAGGGGGTGGTCCCAATAAAAATCTGTCACATGTATATTTACATTGTAGCAGCCTACAATTTATGAATGAACTCAATGTGCTATGAGTGCAGTAAGGGGACTAGGGTGCGACTAAAACCAGTGTGATTGAACTACTGAGGTTAGCATATCTTGTTAGTTTTATTATTTGGTTTTTCTGTGGGGGTAAAGATTTTCAATTAACTATTTTGTTAACACTTCTGAAGAGAGGACTAAGGTGGAAATGCCTTTTACAACAAGTGACTGAAGGAAGGACCTGGCAGAGGTATTAATTCACTATATTATGTTTATATTTTTCAAAAAAATAACAGTTATAATTCTCAAATAAATAGAGGTGGATAAATAATGCAAAAATAAACATCTCTTTAAATTTTAAATAAATTTGCTTTGACTATGTGACCATGTTTGCATCTCGTATATTTAGTTTGTGAGCATTCCAATAATTGGTGTATTAGCAAAAGTGTTCATTTAAAAGTGAATTTCAAAAGTTGCATGTGAAAGTATTCATGGAAACTCAATTTGAAATTCATGCCAGAAATTCTCACGTTTACTGTATTCAAAACAATACTATGTGATTCAGACAAAATCACAACCAAGTAACACCTTGAATTTAGAATATTTGCAATTGAGCCATAGAGAATGATCTATGGAAAGACAGAAGACTCAAGAAACAGTGAACTGTTTACAGACATTCCATAAGTAGCAGAGGCTAATGACACTTACTTTTTTTTTGCAAAATAAAAATCCAGTGTGTGATTTAGTGCACAGACGTGGGTTTTTAACCTCTGTACAGCCTTAACATGTTATGATCTTTTCAGAATCAGATAACTATTTTTACCCTTTCCTTTTTGCACATGACACGTGTTTATGCAAGTGCTTTAGAAATCTTTAGCTGCTACTGCAAAACTGATTTGTATATGCCGGGTAACACTTTCCCCACTTCTGTGTTGCTCTTTTTTGCTCATCTAAGTATACTTCAGAGGGAACAAGGTTGGCAGCAGGCTGTCTGTCTGTGACTATTTCTCAGAGATCATATTTCATGGTCAGGTAAAACATTTTTGCATACATTGTATGTAATCTTTTTTTGCATTGCTACAGTAGCAGTAACAGTAATTATACTTTCCTAAACCAATGTAGGAAACTACAAATAGCAATGGTAGAGGGAAAATATTTTCTTTGGTACTTTTCCATTAGGCAAAGAGAAATGTGGACGGTAACCTGGTCCAGTGGTTTGACTATGGGACTAGAAATCAAGGTTAAAGACTACCCAAAGCTCTTATTATTTTATTTGTATTAATATAGCTCCTAGAAGCCCAAGTCCAGGACCAGACATTGGTGCCAGGTAATGTACAAAGACACAGGAAAAGGATGGTACTGGACAAGGGTGCCAGAACAGGGGGTGGGGGAGGCTATGGCTCCATCACTTTTAAAAGTGGGGGGGCTATGCATAAATATACGAAGCAAGATAAACTTAAAATATACTATCAATACAGGTGACTTTAAACCTTATTAAAATATGTAGAATCTGTTTGGCCCATACAAGATTGTGCTTAGGTTTGTGTGGCCCTCCTGTGTAATAAGGCTGGGCACCACTGGTGTAGACACAGCCTAAGTATAAGACAAGAGACAACAGATGGTTACAAACAGATAGAGGAGTACAAGGAAAATGAGACAATATTGGTCTGTGTGATAGGCAATGATCTCAACACACCAGTGGCCTAACTGTTAAGTTTTTTTTTTTTTTTTTTTTCGGTAGGCATCATGGCAGAGGGCAGTTTTGAGGAGGGGTTCAGAAGAGGATAATGAGTGACTGAAGCACACCACTCAACTTTTGTAGTTCAGCTTATATAAGGGTAAACATTAAATAATTTTGACTTACTTCACAAGGGTATCGGGAGACTTAGTTTATATTTGCTGTGTGCTTTAAGTGTGCAAAATATTTTTTAACATAATTGCTCTGCCCTTTTCACTCTCCCACCACCAGACGAGCCTTCTCTGTTCTAAAATCGAAGCAACATATGTGAATAGCCCATATTTTCAATACAAAGGAAAAGCTCACTTTTTAAAGTATCATTTATTAACAAAGGGCCAGATTATTGTTTCCTTGGTACTATTTGGGGACTACGGCACTACTGAATATGTGCAAGGAAATTGGAATCTATCCCATAGTAATTGTAATGTGAAGCTACTCCCTTATACACAAAAATTAGGTCATGCACTTTTACTAAAAACATCTGCTGATCCAATTCAGCCTGGCTGTAACATCTCTGTGCAGAGAGAACCTCTAACGCTGGGCTCATCAGCGGTACTACCTGCATCATGCTGCTGTTCTCCATTCATTTCCACAGCAATCCAGCAGTAATGCGCAGTAGCAGGAAGTCTTGGGAGCCAACCCTGTCACTGTCTGGTGCTCATGTGCGGTTTCCCACCTTTGCTTCTACAGACATCCAGGGAGTTCAAGCAAGAACACTAAAAAAAAGAAAAGAAAAGAAAGGAAGCTCGAAAGCTTAAAAAATATATATCACTTTTTTTTCCAGCTGCAAGACAAGTGTTTAGCTTACTGCTGAGGAACAATAAAGGGGGAACTGTTCACTTTAACATCTTTTCAGCTAGTGGCCCTCATTTTTCTCATTAGTAAGGCCAGTTTGACATCATGAATTTGTGTTGCGATAACACATACAAAAAAATCTGATCTCCAACCCACCTTCAAACGGATTACAAGAGCATGATAGATCCCAGACAGCAGCATGTGGTATGGGACTGAGCAAGAGATATGAACTAGCAGCACAGATTTTTTTTTTTTTTAAACTACAACTGTTTATCAAACCGTACATATCACACCTGTAATAACAGCTCAACTCCTCTCCTGTTTCCAATGGAAAGGCTGGGCAGGGCCATCTTCTGTCAGTTTCTTGACTTTGATACCTAGATTGCCAACCACCTCAAGCCAATGCCCATTTTACTGATGGGAAACTGAGTGGGGTGAGTGACTTGCCCAAGGTCACACAGAAAGTCTGTTGCAGATCAGGGACTTGAACCCAGGTCTCCCATGTCCCAGATCAGTGCCCTAACAAAAGGCCATCCCTTCCTCCCTCTGATCACAACTATACAAGTGAAATGGACAAGTAACAACACTTAAGTCAGTGTAACTGAGATCAGAATCTGGCCCACTATATGTCCATTTAAGAATATTTATTTTGAACATTTTAGCAACACACCTTTCATAAGTCTTCAAAGGATTAAGAAATGCTGGTCTTTTGTCACTTTAGGAGCTACAATGTTATTAAACAAAAAAACTGCTTAAAGACCTTAGCTAATGAGCCATCACTTCCTCACTTTAACAGGATCAACAGAAATAAAACTAGCAAAGCCATCTTGTTGCGAATAATCTATTAGGTCTATTACCTGAATACTGTGCCTTTTTACACAAATTTAAAAAACGGTTACATTTCCATGCACCAGGATGGAGTACTTAATTGCCTTTTCATGTATATTCTTTTACCAGATCATTTTTAATGACTTTATTATCTTCCTTTATATTTGATGGTATTTCTTTAGCAATTCATTTAACTATTATATTTCACTTTGTGATGCACAAAAAATGTTACTTTAAAATATTAATTTCAGAGGGTTCTGCTGTCCTGAAACAGATTTGCTCAGCTCTGTGCATGGAAAGTTAATATATTTTATTTTTCTGCTAGGGTGCTTCGAGGTGTACTCATTTTCATAAAAAGCCTAGATCACCATTCTCAAAAGCTTAGAGTACTACTGTTATGTTTATCAGTGACTGGGAAGCCATCCAATAAAGTATTAATTTCTGAAGAGACAGGTGTCAAACTTCTCAAAAGATGACAAACTTGTCTAGCCTCACGAACGCACTCCATGTAAAATCCTGGTGGAAGATAGAACTTGGGTAATTATTGGCTAATGCAGTAAGGATAATTATATTTTCCCCTGAAATGTTTTCTTGCTAGGTAAACTGAAGTCCTCTCATAATCACCAGTGAAGCATGAACAGTCTATGCAAACTGCCACAAAACACATCACTGTCTAGTTTAGTTATGTTAAAATTATAAGGGCCAAGTTTCCCACTGGCATAAGTGGGCGTAAATCCACTTAGTCAATTACTTGAAGGGACTTTTGCACATCAAATCACTGCTTTTACTAATTGCACTCTGTCAAGAGTTGCTTATGGAGAAACTGTAAGGATAGCTTCATTTAAATGTATTATGTCATGCAGTAAGTTACTGCTTCAAACTACTGTATAATACACAATGTATCACATTTTGCTGCATATGAAAAACTCCCAAGGGATATAGCTCCTAACTGTCTACAAACCTTGATCATTTCCTCACCAACCTTCGCAGTTTTCAGCAAAGCACTTAAGAATGAGCTTAAGACTCACATGAGTAGGATTTAAGCATGTAACTAACTATGATTTGCTGCACTGCAGCTCAATTCATGAACCAGTTCAGAGAAAGGAATGACCTATTGCCTACCTCATAGCAAGAACAAATGAAACTACATTTATTTGAAGAATCAAGCTGTCACCTTTTCCCCCTCTAAGAAGGAAATATGAAATAAAACACAGCATTAAGAATGACTATTTAAAAAAGAAAAAAAAACCTTTTAATACTGAAAACCCAGCGAAGGGATACAGGTTGGATAAAGCAGCCAGAACCTTAACACCCACCCAATGCAGTAAAACACTCATGTAACAGAATCAACCAGTGAGATTGGTTATACAGTTTTGTCAATGCACAAAATAAACTGAAAAATAAAATATAAAATAGCCACCCAAAGGTCTGTCATTGAATGACCAGACAGGTTAAAGTGTTCTCCCACTGGTTTTTGAGTATTATGATTCCTGATGTCAGATTTGTGTCAGATACCATCAGGGGCTCGTTCACCTGCACATCTACCAATGTGATATTTGCCATCATGTGCCAGCAATGCCCCTCTGCCATGTACATTGGCCAAACCGGACAGTGTCTACGCAAAAGAATTAATGGACACAAATCTGGCTATTTTACAACAGAAAAACTTCAAAAACAGACTCCAACGAGAGACTGCTGAGCTGGAATTGATATGCAAACTAGACACAATCAACTCAGGGCTAAATAGGGATTGGGAATGGCTGAGCCATTACAAACATTGAATCTATCTCCCCTTGTAAGTATTCTCACACTTCTTATCAAACTGTCTGTACTGGGCTATCTTGATTATCACTTCAAAAGTTTTTTTTCTCTTACTTAATTGGCCTCTCAGAGTTGGTAAGACAACTCCCACCTGTTCATGCTCTCTGTATGTGTGTATATATATCTCCTCAATATATGTTCCATTCTATATGCATCCAAAGAAGTGGGCTGTAGCCCACGAAAGCTCATGCTCTAATAAATTTGTTAGTCTCTAAGGTGCCACAAGTACTCCTGTTCTTTTTGCGGATACAGACTAACACGGCTGCTACTCTGAAACTTGTAAGTATAGTAGGTAAAAAATAAAAAAAATAAAAAAATATGCAGAAACGTCCATGTTCACGTGTCCCTCTACAAGCAATTTCCAGCAGTACATTAAGTATTGTGAAAAAACCCAAGCATCCAAAATGCATCCAAACCCCCAAACCTTAACTGACTTCTAAATCAGAAAACATTTTAAAAATACACGAGAGGTACTTTTTATTTGCATTCTGGTTTGAGTTTTAGGGTGCCCTTGATTCTCCATAACCATGAGTACTAGAAACTTGCTTTTAAAATGAAAGCCGAGAGTCTCACCTAACCACATACCTCCAGAAGCTAGGGCTTTAAGGAAAAACACCGAAACCCACAAAAACCTCACAACATCATGAGAGTTGGCAACTATGTCTGCCCCAGAGACAGCCCTACCATTCTTACAATTAATTGTTTAAATGTGCCTTTTTTCTATACTACTGGGTGAAAGACCCATACAAATAAGTGAAACTGACTATCAAGAAAAAAGAACGAGGAGTACTTGGGGCACCTTAGAGACTAACAAATTTGAGCATAAGCTTTCATGGGCTACAGCCCATTTCATCGGATGCATGTAGTGGAAAATACAGTAGGAAGATACACACACACCCCCATGAAACACTGGGTGTTACCATACACACTATAAGGAGAGTGATCAGTTAAGGTGAGCTATTATCAGCAGGAGAGAAAAAGAACTGTTTGTAGTGGTAATGAAAATGGCCCATTTCCAGCAATTGACAAGGAGATGTGAGGAACAGTGTGTGTGTGTGTGGGGGGGAAATAAGCATGGGGAAATAGTTTTACTTTGTGTAATGGCCCATCCACTGGGAGTGGATGGGCCATTACACAAAGTAAAACTATTTCCCCATGCTTATAATAGCTCACCTTAACTGATCACTCTCCTTATAGTGTGTATGGTAACATCCACTGTTTCATGTTGTGTGTGTGTGTGTGTGTGTGTGTGTGTGTGTGTGTGTGTGTGTGTGTGTGTGTGTGTGTATTCCTACTGTATTTTCCACTACATGCATCCAATGAAGTGGGCTGTAGCCCACGAAAGCTTATGTTCAAATAAATTTGTTAGTCTCTAAGGTGCCACAAGTGCTCCTGTTCTTTTTGCGGATACAGACTAACACGGCTGCTACTCTGAAACCTGACTATCAAGAGGAAACAGTAAAACTGACTTTAATCAAGATCATGAAAATCACTAATTAAGCCTTTTAAGGTGCTACCACTTAAGAAAACCCCAGAGAGTTAGTAAAAAAAAATATTATAAATGAATCACAGGAAGTTTGCACCCTGGACATCTATAAAAAAAGATATTTTCCATGGAACTGTCATTATAACATTAAGTCTGAATGGGACTGAAACTTCACATAGGCTATAGTTTTAGCCATGTTTTAACGAGTTAATTGTCAACTAATCAAGTTAACATGATTGTGAATTAGAATTGGTTGGAAAAATTCATATCAAATTTTCTCATCATAATTTGCCAGTTTATCTAAACCAAAATATTTCATGGAGATGGTTCTGTTTTGACAAAGTTTCTGTCTGGAGCTTGCCTGGTTTCCTTCCAGCTTGTCTGTCTGTCTCCTTGGCAGTCCAACTGGGAGCTCTCCTAGGGCCCTTGGCTCTGGGGCAGCCTGTCAGGCAGACTGCCTTGGAGTCAGGGACACCAGGGTTTCTGGGATGCCTGGCTCTGGGGTAATCCATCACATTGACTGATTATGAAAGGAAATGGTGCCTTCATTCAGAGAGTATTTTGAAAATGTTGGTTTTCATTCTGAATTGGAACGAATCCAGATTTGGAGGTATCAAAATCCTCCATGAAAAGGAATTTACTTTCTCTGCCCAGCTGTACTCTGAAGGCGAATCTAGATACTTCATAAGTCTGTGTGTCCTGAAACAACCATTTGTTGAGTGTTTAGATTTACCACTTGATATTGTACAATGCTCTCAATTAAACTTCAGTTACAACTCAGCTAAA